ACTTTTCTTATTTTATTTAAAATATCATTGTGAGTATTTGGATATTTTTTAATTAAGAACTACTTATGATTTTCAAGAAATGCCCAAGATCATGTTGTTGAGGTTACATCAATTGCATTAAAATTTCTAAGTAGTGGCTGAACTCCAAGATTTCCAAAATCTTAAGAAATTTTCATAATCAAATAAATCAAGTAGTGTGTCTACTCAAGATACTTCTATTTGGTGGCAACATCGACGTATGTAAGAAGTATTTCGATATCTGAATTTTTCCTACCAAGATCATCCTAATTCATAATTTGATACTAGTGTCGAATTGCGTAATCATTGTCAGAAGTCTAACAAAGCTGCATTCATCGTTGAGATTCAATTATTAACAAAGCTATTCATTTTGTTCGTCGTTTCTCGTCCAAAATATAACTAGTGACCTCGTTATGTAGCATTTATTGTCTTAGCCTAGTCCATACGTTATATGAATAGCAGCTAAAAGCGATGAATGTTCATATTCGTTCGATTGCACGGCAACTTGAACTGCAAAACAAAAACAATGAACTATCAAAGACCAACAATTGTAAAGAGGGTGTGGGTGTGGGTGGGTGTGGATGTATATAACGAAAAGCACTACACGCACACCCACACCCAACTTGTGTGGTGTAGATCTCGTGAAGGAAACACTTTCAAAACGAGGTATTTTGGTTTCCTTAGTTTCATAAAATGCCCTATCTATGTAGCAAACAAAGCAAAAAATAAAATAAAATTTGACAGGTGCCAACGATCTCCATAAAAGGCGGTTTTCTCATGGACCCTCTCTTAAACTGTAAAAGATAGAAGTGTCTGGTCTCAAAATAGTGCGAACGGAGAAGACGAGTACGCGCACTTTTGAAACGTGGACTGTAGGTGTTCTTTTCTTCTCGATCAAAGTATAAGATCATAAACGAAAAGAACGAACTCAAAGTACGTCATTGTTTCACATCTTGAAGATACGAAAAGGATGTATACGATTCATCAAATAGCCTTACGTTGTCAACCTGTCTCTTACTTCATCGGATGAAGAATGAAAAAAAAAGGTTGTATGTTATCGATGTATATAAAGAGACGCATCTTTTTTTGCTTTAATGTTATTTTCTTCATCATTGGTGTTGAGGCAAAAAGTATATAAAATGTGGCTTTTATCCATGATTCTATTTCTGATATGCATTGGTCTCATGAGCTATTACTTTTTTCTACTACAGCAACTTTATCGATACTTTAGTCAACGTGGTATTCCTACTCCACCTTTCCGTTTCTTCTTTGGCCATCTTAAAATTTTGTGGAATACTCCGGCCTTTCACCGTCAACTTGAAAGTTGGACGAAGCAATATGGCAAGATATATGGAATTTATCAAGGAACTGCTCCCACCTTTGTTGTTAGTGATGCTGATTTTCTTCAGGAAGTCTTTGTCAAACAATTTGCCGTTTTCCAAGGGCGAAGAGAAGTTCTCAGAGATATTGCTATTCATAATGTATTTTCATCATCGGGTGCACCATGGCGTCGACATCGTCAGGTCATAAATCCAACGTTCTCTGCAGCCAAATTAAAAATGATGAGTCCTCTTATTAATGGGTGCATTAATAATCTAATGGAAAAATTAGCCGTTCATGTAAAGAACGGCAATGAATTCAATATCTACTTATACTATAAGCGACTGACAATGGATGTCATATGTAAGTACTAGCAATGAGTCTGCGACTTTGCTCCGGTTTACTCGATAGGTGTGGGTGCTGGTGAAAAAGAGATACCCATACCTCGGAAGCTTCAAGATCTTCTAAAATCCAAACTCTTCTAGGATCTTCTAAAAACTTTTATAGCCCCTTAGACCTTTCCACGACCGGTTCGCTGAACGTCTGCGCTTTATTATAATAGTATGGATATCCTCACGTCTGGGTCTCGTTCAAGCAAAGATAGAGAATGGTTGAGTTTCTTGTGCATTCTAGAAATTTCAAGCTTTTTTTTTCACCTTGAAATTACATCAGAATATGTCCAAAAAAAGTCTTGCATATATTGTAATTCGTGAAATCTTCTGATGGATTTTTGAGACCTTATGTTCTCTGTAAGTATTTCGGAAGGAGCTCTCTTTCATTTTTGTCATATCTCGTTAAATGTATAACCGAACATATTGATCACAATTATCATCTTGAGGATGCGGGTACGTAGTTGTTGATTAACAGAATACCTACACACCTTACAATCACCTTCAAGATAGTTACGAGGACATCCTAATAGCTATCATTGTCGATGATCCTTAGGTCGATGTGCCTTTGGAATTGACACCGATTTACAAAACAATCCAAACAATATATATTTCAAGAAAGTGGAAGAACTTCTTGCTGACAATCTTAACACGCGTTGGCTCTCCAGACTTGGCGAACTTACGCCTCACGTAGCGAATTTTATTAATAAAATCTTTTTTAGCACCAAAATCGCACGAGTATTAATCAATAAATATCTCCTACCCTTGATATCAATGAAACAGTTATATGAACCACCAAATATTTGGCTCTTCAGCCGACTACATCCAATTATTGAGCAGCGAGAGCAGACGCCTACCTCACAAGTCGATCTTTTGCAACTGATGTTACAAGTGATGACTAGCGAGACAATTAATGTAAGTGTACTTAATATCAATAGAACTTAAAACGCATTTTCATGAGTAATAATTTACTTTGAGTTTATTGGCAGTCTTGATAATTTCCAGTAACGTACTACGAATTCAAAAGGCTACAGAGAAATAGACATTGTCAGATATCGTATGGTTGAATAGATTTACGACATTCCTGAAGAGGAATTACTTTGTGCTTTTGTAATAGAAATTTGGATAAGAAATTTTCAAAGTCTTGATTGCTTGCAAAGAGAAAAAACAGTTATTCTCAGAAAGATCAAACTGACGTTTAGTTGTAGTAATGCTCAGTTTTTCAAAGTATTTCACTCGTACCTCGCGTAGGATACTGCGTACAATGAGATGCGCTAGTATGTTTATGGCGTTGTTAAAACTTTCGAATGACAGAGGAGATTACATTAAAACTTCTATTACAATCTCTAAGAAAAAATATAGCGAACAATAAAAAGTTTTCGATTCGGTCAGAGAAACTGGAGATAGTTATAAGCTCATTATAAATACGTTTCTCTTCTAGGACGAAGTGCAAAACAACGACAAGGCAAACTATCGGCTAACTCGAAAAGAAATTATCGTTAACATTCTTGTCTTTATGGCAGCAGGATATGAAACAACATCAACTGCTTTGGCTTATGCAACGTATGAGCTTGCTAGACATCCAGAAGTTGCCAAGAAACTGCAGGATGAAATAAACCAACTTCCGTTCAACAATGATGATGAGTTCAACGAGGAAATAAAAAAATATTCCGATTATGATTTGGTCATGCAGATGCCTTATATGGACATGTTCATTTCCGAGGTCTTGAGAATGTATCCCATTGGAAATACATTCATTCAAAGATTTGCCTCCAAAGATACAGTCGTACAAGGAATTAATATTGAAAAGGGTAAGTACACATTTTTATAGTACACAGAACTTCGATCTTTTATGTATCAGGTGATGGATCCACAGTAACTGTATCGTAATCTACAAATTTTTCCGTTTTGAATTTTTACACTTGTTCGAAAAAGCTTTGTTGATCTATAACAGTTTTATATGTAACTGTAAAGACATCTATGTACGAGAATTAGAACTGAGAAGGCAAGTTACCTTCATTTTTTGCATCAACTTCATGACAATCTTATCAGATAGTAGCTTCTTAAACTACATGTCTTTTATCTTTTTTAAGGTACCGTAGTACATGCTGATGTCTATTCAGTTCATTACGATCGTGAACTTTGGGGTCCTGAAGATCCATACATCTTCTTTCCTGAACGCCATAAAACAAAACGTCATCCAATGGCTTATCTGCCATTTGGAGCAGGCCCACGACATTGTATTGGTATACGCTTTGCATTGATGGAGATGAAACTTCTACTAGTACAGCTACTTCGCAAGTATTCGATTTTGCCTGGCGAGAATCTCGAAAGCAAATTTAACATCCGTGAACGGGCAGCCATCGTACCCGAAGAGGTTTGGGTCAAACTGGTAGAAACAAGTGCTTGAGAAACAATGAAACAATGCTTACAAACCGAAAACTGTACTTTTCTCAGAATATAACTTGCATAAATAGAAAAGAAATATTGAACATTCTTCAGAAAACCTCTGTTCTGAAAATATTTATAATGTTTTTGCTATCTTTTGTTCGTGTCTTAGTACGTAGTTATGGCTTCGGTGAGGGAATCGGTGTGAATGAAGAAGAAATACCCGCACTCTCAACCCGCTTATTTCGCACATTACAAATAACACAAACGGGTGTGAGTGTAGGTGTGGGTGTGGATGACGATTTGACTATTATTCTTCTGTTCATTTACACCCACACCCTTTTTATATGTTGTTGTCCACCATCATCTGTTGGTACACCATCTGTAGCAATCAATATTAATAATTTACGTTCTTGAATTTCAAGTTGTTTTTCTTGTAAAACTTGTCGAAGCATACGAACAATTGGAGTTGATCCTATGATAATATCGTAATTGATTTAACAAAAAAAATGTTGTTTATTGTTTTTTTCGTATTCTTATTTACCAGCTGGTGGAATAGCAAATACAGGAATAAGTTGTTCAGTATGCCTAACATTACGTATACGCTGACGATTTAAAAAGAAAATGTCTATAACAAAAAAATTAAATTATTATTAATATTTTAGTTTTTCATTTACCAATATCATTTGGATCAAAACTTGACAATATATTTATATAAATAAAGTTATCCATTTTAATATATAAAAATAGAACTAACTTACACAGATGCAATATCAACTACAATTGAAACTGTTTGTCGAAGTTCATTCTATCATGTAAGATTACGATTGTATGGGCCAGATATATCACCTTAATAAGCTGAAGCCATTTGCTTCTGAAATACGCCTAACTATCAAAAATCAATCAAATCAATGAAAGGATAGTCGAAAATTTGAAGCTGTCAAGACACATGATGCTAGCGTTTTGGGTGAATGTCGTCCTGGATATTGTGCGATGTTTCATCACGCCTCTTCAATTTGATGTGAAATCTGGTCCATCAGATTTTTTTCATTAAAAAATAAACTGCACTATATCATGTAGTAGTGGAAAAAGCCATTTTGATTGTTGATAGACTTAAGAAACTCGTCATGCATCTGTGTAACAAGTTCGACTAAAGTTGGTCATTCTATATTTAAGTCTTAAGTTCAATTGACTACAAGCTTATTGGTAATTTTTTTCTGTGCATGTTATTGCGTCTTCCTTTCTTGTTCATTTCGAAGAAAAAACTCAACAATATTTGAGATTCCAAGACATAGCCGAAAAGCAGTCAAATGACTAATATCTAGTTTACTAAACAGAAAGTGCTAAAAGCGCCAATGACAAAATTCGCTATATGGTGATATAATAGAATAAACATAATATACATGACACACTACATAGATTATATGGAAAGAGAGTACACAAAAGGGGAAAACAAGGAAACTATAGTGTTCTTTACGAATCAATAACCGAGAGAAATGATAATTTTGACGAACTGTATTATTCAGACAATAAAGAAAGCCAAGAAAGCGTCAGTGCAGACAAACATAAAGATTTTTGCATTGGCAAGCGAGTTAGAAGATGTTAGATTGTCATTGAAAACGAAAAATGTTATTAGAATTTGTTCTCTATATGGACACTTTTTCGCACGTTCGTGGTTGTGATCTCGTCAGCACTACTAATGTTGCCTTGTGGAGGTTCTATTGGTTCTAAATGACGTAATGGCATTTGCTGTACATGCACTCGACTGTCTCGACAAAATGAAAACATCAAAATAGTCTTTTGTAATTGTGGTGTTATATAAATTGTGATCAATCCAATAATTGTTAAACATGCTGATGTGATCAAACCAACGATCGCATATGTTAACGGATATAATTGTTCATTAACGATTCCGTATATAATAAAGATGATCGTCGGACAACGTAACACTATTAATATTAATATTAATACAACAATGCGCTTTATAACGGTTAAATCTCTTAAGTTTCGTCGTCGCCGTTTTGCAGTTATAATAAGTGTTGTTGTGCGAGCAGAACCACGCATAAATTTCGTTATCCATACATAGATTAATGCAATAGAAATTAACGGAATAAGATATAGGATAATGATAAGATATATTGATGCACCTATATCAGTATATGGAATAAGACAATAGGTCTCCGTTGGTAAACGAATGTACCATTTGAGGAAAAGTGTTGGTAAAATCAAGGCAATGGAGACTAGCCATTGTCCATTAATCAATATGATATATAAGGAATAAGACAGTAGAGATTTTTTCTTGTAAAATATAACTCGACATAGACGAAAGAATGCTTGTAAATAATAACTATGATAAATTGAACATTCGAATATATCATAGAGTAATCCCCATCCATAACAAAAGTTAAGATTATCATTTAAAAATCCCGTCGTTAAATTAGAAATAGTCATGACACATTCTGCAATACATGTGAGAAGTACAGCCAGACAAGTATTACATGTTAATACCAACGATATATCCTTTAGTTCTTGACGACATTTGAATACGATAATGAAAATTAATAAAAAAATAAGTATAGCAATAATGACTAGACCTAAATTGATAATTCCAAGGCATGTTGCTGCCGAAAACATTGGTCACGCGAGATTTGGTTGAATAACTTTAATGATCCTATGTGTTACTTGCAGATGAACGCAAACGAGTCTACGATAAACTCACCAGAGACTAGAACTAGAAGATATATATAATTTTTCTTAAACTTTCCGTGCGATTGTGTTTATCTTGCGATCTGCAGAAAAAAAACAAAATGTCAAACAAACGAAGATCGTCATACTGTGTTCTCGGCAACATGGGAAGAGAGGAAAGAGAGAAACTATTAAGAAAGAGCAAGCTAAAAGAATCTGTGTAAGTTGAATCGTCTTCTGACACGCACGTATATAGGAAGCATCAGAATGAAAGAGTTTCCGGAGTTTTCCAGTCCAATTACACTCATTAGAGAGAAATTCACGTTTTTATTTAGTTTATGCCAGTGCCTGAGAAGTGATTATCCAACTTAGTGTTGGCTATTGAACAATATTATTGCTTTTATATCATATTCTCATGAACGAACGCAATCTGAAAATTAATAATGACTGCAATACATCGAGCGATGCAACTAAATTCTCTCATAAATATTCCATTATTGAAAAATGCGAAGATGACAACCAGTCAATATTGATTGATGCGCTCTATTCGATGATATAGCTTAGCTCGACATTTATACTATACTCACAGATGGTTCCACCCATAGTTTAGGAGTGACCTAGTTCACGGAAATTCCGGGGAGTAAAAAAAGTTTGTTCGCAGCCAGAGCAAAAACTTTTTTTTTCACTGTGGTAGATGTAGTACACACTTAGATAAGACTTCTGAAAGACACTCGAAAAAAATTTCACCGACTATCTGCGGAGAAAACACGAAAGTTGATCCAAAGTTGGGGGTAGGTACATCCTGCCATAGTTTGGCGCGAAAACTGAACTCAAATGATATTCATGCCTACACAAACTGATGTCATGTTGTTTAGAAGTCTATGACATAGTTTACTGTGAATCGGAGAAAAAGTTAGAGATTAAAATATGCCTATAACAGAAACGTGACTTTCAACAATCTCGCTTGAATTGTTTTGCAAAAATCTTATCGGATGATTGTGCGCGTGTTAATAATAATGCCTTCTTTCTTTTATGGATGCAGATGACTTTGTTCGTTACTTTTCTAATGCATTATATATGACGTTGTCTGTGCTTTAATGAAGAGGTATTAATAGTCTTTATGAAAATATACATGTCATATCACTGATGAATGAAAATTCAAGCTTCTATGTTGGTTGGATATAACTTGTCAATGAAAAATGTCTGACAAGATCACTTTGCTACACTAAATAATCTGCGAAAATAAACATTTGCTTCTTTAATGCTGCAGAGAATAATGGTCATTGAGAGAGTTGATGAAAGTTCGAATGTCACTAAGTTGTAGTATCTCTATCCTTTTGATAGATATGAAGAGAAAGAGATGCGCCTTCTTGATGAATGCAATGACAAGATTCGTTGTTACACAGTGATCATTGATTCTCTATTTCTTGTTCACTCTCTCGTGTCTTCGTTCCAAGTAAATTTGTGAAGCACATTACGCCTCTGCGATTAATTCGTCAAGATTCATATTGCGGATATTGAAGAGGATGTGAGTGTGAGTGTGGGTATGAAGAGAAAACTCACACTGACACTCATTATACACCCACACCTTAAATAATATCCGTTAAAATAAATAAAGAGAAAATTCAGCAAATGAATAGAGAGGAAACCTTGCCACTTTAGGATTATAATGGTAAATTATATGGTCAATCCATATCAGTCTATAGCATATAAAAGCAAGAGAACATATCAACATGAAATTAAAAAAAAGTAAAATTTCAACTTCCATTTTTAATTGTTCGGATTATAGTTGTTGGTACTTTAATTATGTCTTTCTTTACTTTGTTTCATTCATGAAAAATTATTCCAACTTCGTCTGGTCGAAATCAGAATTCTAATTTTGTTCATAATCGTCGCGGTCGACATTAGAATTTCAATTTCGTCTGGACGAATTTTGAATTGGGCTATTTATATACGTCTTCGTTCTAGTCGAGAGATATCAGATATTATATTCGTTATCTTGTTCTTTAATCATTCTTCCTTCTATCTCTTCTTCTCTTATTCTTTGTTTGTCATCATAACTAAGATATCACTAATAAATCGAACTCACATACACCACAAATCCACAATAGATTTTTGCTCGATCATTTACATGTTCTTTTGTTAATAATAACATCATATTTTGGAGATGAAAATTAAGAAATAGAGAAGGAAGAGATGAAGAATGAATTGCAAAAAGAAATATTTGAAAAAAAGATGATTGTCTCAGATCAGAAGAATAGATAAACGTGCTACAATCAAAAAACAAGCTATAATATTATCAGACGAAATCAATGAAGATTATCATTTATTCAGAAACCGTTTAAGATATCGATAAAGGTCAGGTTACACAGCCCATGTATCCATTTTTTAATTTTCAACGCGTCCCCGAGCGTTTGTCAGCAATGTAATTTCACGCGTCTGGACGCATCCAAAATGCAACATTTTCGGGTGTTCTAACGCGTTCTAATAGAGAAAAGCATCTTGACGTTGTTTATTGTTAGACGCGTCGAAACACGTTTTAGGATATCCAAAATTTGTTAAATGTTAAAAAATTATGCTCTATATCATGGTATCGGTCCATTTTCATCGCTACATAATATTTTTATTTCAATTTAACACATTATTAAGTTATTGAATAGAGTCCAACAAACGAGATTCGATCATGATGCCTACAGAATGAAAGACATTGAACTTACCACGAAGCTATAAATACTCGTACAGTCTTATCTGTTATTATCATGTGACTTTTTATAAAGAAAAAGATCAATTTATAGCAATTGCTTCATTAAATAATATAAACTTTGAAATATTTTCATTTTTTTAATTTATCAGTGTCAATTAAAATTACATACATGACATCGGTTACATATGATTAACTTTATAAAAAAAATAATTATAGGTTTTGGATCACAGAATACGAGAAAAACGGTTTTTTCGATAATTAATTGCTTATTTAATAAATGCTCAATGGATGCAGTATCTTAACTTTTTGTCTTTTTAAAGTAAAAAAAAATTAATTTAAATTT